CTTGTCGCATTCTCCCCGCAGGGAAATTTGCGCGGGTTGTCCGTTGCCGCCCATCACTCGCCGCGACGCCGACGCCCAGCTCACGGCGGAGAAGCTCAGCTTGAGGGAGCTGCGGTCGAGGTGCGCCTCACGCGGCCTCCTGACAACCGGCACAAAGAATGTCCTCCTCACCCGGCTGCGTCAGCACGGTGTGTCGCAGCCGACGGGACCGGTGCCATGGTCGGAGCGGGACGGCGAGGGGCAGGCAGAACAGCCGGTGGAGAGTGGGGAATGTGGCGGTGCTCTGCCCGGGCGATTCATGTCGACGCACGAGGAGCAGCTCGAACACTCGCAGCGGCTGCGAACACCGTTCCGATCGCCATCTACCAGCCGCCCGTCGTCACCGCGCCCAAGAGATCAGCCACGGATACGCAGGCTCGTGGGCACCCCACAAGAGTTTGTTGCTGCGCCAAGACAGGAAGCGAAGCGCGAGGATCGCGTTGGTGGGTCCTTGGCACACGTTGCTTCAGAGGAAAAGGTCTCGCGATACCAATGGCGAATTCTTGTTGACAACCGAGAGCGCATCCACGGTGCCCATGGGCGCGTGATAGAAGCCTTCACGACGGCTGGTGTTCCCACTGCATCCTGCACGCTTCCATGTGGTGACTTCATGATTGGGATCGACATGCCCGGTGACAGCTGTGGGAGCCACGCCAGTCCCCCAACTGCGAGGGAACTGGACAGTCTTGGCGCCACCCACTCCGTCCCAGCTGCGGGTGAGTGTGGGGATGCTCCTGCGCAAAGACTCTTTTCTGTTGTTGTGGAACGCAAGACAGTAAAGGACCTCTGTGCAAGCATTGCGACGTCCCGCTACTACGAGCAACGGCGGCTACTTTCTGTCTCGCCGTTTCGGTCGGTGGTGTGGGTGGTGGAGGGAACCACCGAACTGCTGCGCCCCGATGAACGGCGTCGTGTCTTGTCGGCTTGCGCTTCGCTTGCCGCGGTGCCACGCTTCCGTGTCATCCGCACGCGCCACCTGAAGGACACCGTCTCTTGGTTGCGCTCCCTTGGAGTTGCCCACGTCACGGCGCTGGCAAATGCCGCGCGGAGTGGCGCACGACCACCACAGCTGGCCGACTGTGCGACCTGCCTCAACGTGACCGCGAGGATAAAGCGAGCACTCCGCGCGCGCACTACCTTTGCCCGCATGCTTATTTGTGTTCGTGGATGCTCGTCCGGGTTTGCGACACAGCTTGCGTGCAAGTATGGTTCCTTCTTGCAGTTGTGGAGGCGCTTGAGGTGTTGTGGCCGCGAGGCATGCGACGCGGACATGGACGTGCGCCGCCTGAGCAGCACGCAGAGGGATGTGTACGTGCGGCTGACGGAGTTTCTCCTTGCGGAGGAGTATTGTTGATGCGCTGCGGTCTGGGTTGGGGCGTGGCCGCCTTGTGCATGCCTGAGTGGCGCCGCTTGACTGCCTGCTCTTTTTTCCTCCATTTGTTTATTGTTTTTGTCTTTGCGCCTCTTTGTCCTCCGCCCAAGACACACCAGAGCGAAGCCACACAAAAGCACAAAGTAAGGCCGACGAATGCCCTCTGGCAAAGCAACTGCGCTTGCAGCGGCGACACTGCTGGCGCTTCTCGTGGTCGCGCCCGCCGTTGCATCTGCCCAGCGCTCACTCGACTGCCAAAAGGTGTGGGATGGCCCCAGCATCGACAACGACGTCTTAAAATGCCTGTCCAACACCGACCGCATAAAGGGGCAGTGGCGCTACCTTGTTTATCCGGGGGTTTGTGCGCTGCTGTTCGTTGTGACTCTGCTGAGCTTCCCGCTTGTTTTTCTCAGCGTTGCCTGCTGTCACTCCTGCTGTCAGCCGAAGCCAGGGCGGAGCAGTGACGCGTCCCGCTGCTTTCTCTGGATGTGGGTCATTTACGTCGTGCTGTGGAGTGCTGCCATGGCTGTTCTCGTGATATTAGGCGCCAAGCTGCTGGCGACGTCCGCCCCCAGTATCATTGACAACACGCTGGATGGTCCGCTGCAGTACTTCAATAACACGGCTGAGAGGATCATTGATTTCACGTCCAACTGGTCCTCGGGTAAGCGTGAGCCCATACCTTCCATCGGCCTGGACATCACTGCCTTCACCAACATCAGCACCAAAGTGACCGATTTACTCATGGATGCCAAGCACAAGATTTCGAAGTACATTGGATGGATACCGATTGTGTCGTACTGTGTCGGTGGCGTGGGTGTTGTGCTAATGCCTCTTGTGGTTTTGTTGGCCTGTTGCCGCTGCGGCATCCCGTTCACAACATATTTATTCTCCTGCATCTACTGGCTCTTCGGGGTTGTGTTTGCACTGCTCGCGGTTGTGGTGACGGTGCTGACGTATCTCTCTTGGGCCGCCTGTGGCGAGGTGGAGCTGCAGCAACAACGGCAGCCGGGTGTGTTCCAGTGGTATCTTGTGCCGTACTGTGAGCAGACATTTGACTTTTCTGATATCAACAGGAAGGCGGATGATGCGGAGCGGCGGTTCTCCGAAGACGCGTGCAAGAAATTGCTCAAGTCTTGCGATAACAAGCCCATTTCATTTAAGCCCTTGCTGTGCGGCAACAACATCACATCGGAGGATCAGTGCCCCAACTTTGGCACCATGGCCAGCGTGCTGAGTGCTACCCGGGTCAAGGCCTTCACAATGGCGTGTCCCGTGGCGGGCGAATCGTGCACGCTGTTTGAGTGCGCCGCCAACTGCACCAACAGAGATTTCAAAGCAGCGGCGTCAGGGATTCTGCAGCTTGCGGCGCAGGCAAACAATGCGAGCATTGCGCTGTCGTACGCCAGGCCGTTGCTCGACTGCAATTTTGTGGTGGACAAGATTCTGGGAGCCATGAGTGACTGCAACGAACTGAAGGCGGGGACCCTGATGCTTGGCACTGGCTTCTTTGTTGGGGGACTGATGTTTGGTCTGGCCATCTACATCATGTTCCGCGGCTCCTGCATTTGGGACGCCCGGTCCATCAAACAGGGTAGGAGCCCTTTTGGAGTTTAGGGAGGCAAGCATTAACATGCCGTGTAGGCCTTTTTTTGTATTTATTTCTCTAGTGTGGGCTTGTTTTGCTACGTAGATATACGTATACTTGGGTGGATGCACGGTGTTCCTTCTCTGCCTCTCTTTTCCATCGGCAGCCGACGAGGGATCTGTTTCTTGTGCGATGGCGTTTTCACCAAGTGCAAGGGGACAAAATGTGGAGAGGGGCGGAGCTGCGTTGTATGAATTGCGGCAAAGAAAGGAAGGCACTGAGAGGAGGAATTGCTCTGCTACCTCATCGTGGAGTCGTTATTGGAATATGAGGAGAGGAGCGTGTTGATGAGGGGCTGTACTCCACAGGTGTGAACGACATGCAAGTGCAACATATGGGGAGTTGAGGGAAGCTGCGCTCTTTTTCAAGAAGCAAAGCTGACATAATTGAAAGCGGTGAACGTTAGACTTATTATATCACCAGGTGAAAATATACCTGTGGTCAAAATAACTAGTCTTTTGATTTTATGTGCCAATTCTTATTTTTTTCATCTTTGGGGAAGTGTGTGTGAGGGTCAGGCCAAATATTTTTTGATTAAACAACATGTTTGAAAACATTCTTTTCCCATTTATTTTTTTGTTTTGTTTTCCTCCCCGTCTGTTGGTAATGATGAGGCGCGCCTCGGGAGGACCCACACAAAACACTTTGCCCCACGCGGGGAAGGCGGTGTGCTGGGCGTTTCCAGCACCTCTTTTTTTGTTAGTGTATGAGCCGAGTTGAGGCGCCTCTGGAGGGCGTCGTGTCGTGCATTGTTTGCTGTTGTGTTTTTTTTTGTTTTTTTTTTAGGAGCTTGTGAAGAGAATGATCGCGGGAATGCTGGCTAGGTAAATGGACACATATATATTCTGGTAAACAAATACGCTTCTTTATAATAATTTTCCTATCTTATGAATTTTGAGAAGAAAACGACTTTAGGGGGTCAGGGAACAGATAACGGCTAGACGAATTTTATTTTTATTTTTTTCACCCACCCTTTTTGATTTGGACCTTGCGGTGGGGTCTTGTGGCTGGAGGAGCCCAAAGTCTTTCACTTCGTAAGTAATAATATTTTATATCCTGAGTTCAAAATTTTACGTGAGCGGTCATATATATATATTTAATCAGAAAAAAACACTGGGACAAGTGGCTGCTGCTGCGTTACTCCTTTTATCTCTATCTTGTTCGGTTTCCATAGATTATTTCAGGGTCTGGCCAACGGTAAAGAAGGTTATTCTTTTCATGGCGCGCCGCGCTGACGGCACGATTCTTCTCCCTTGTTTTTCTTCTTTTGGTTACGGTGAGGGCAGGGTGTAGGTTATTGCTTTGGATGCGCCGTCGGGAGGCACGCGCGAGGCGGTTTCTTGTTGACCGGCACTCCGTTTGGGGGTGCGGCGGTCTCTCATTCCACACTGGCGACCACGGCGTCGCAGAGGGGCGCGGGGCGGCGCCTCCCCACATCACCATGCTGTGCTGAAGCCCCAGCAGCGGGACGACTGGTCGCGACGGCATGTGTTTTGGCGGGCCCTCCACTGAGCCCCGCCACCAGCGCAAACGACACGTCGTTGGAGGGACCGGCCAACGGGCTGAGAGTGCCCACACGGCGTTTTTGTTTGTGCGACCGAAATACGGCGCGGCGGGTGGACTGGCACGTGGTCGGGGTCTTTTGGGGCCGAAGGGGGGAGCCGTGGGGTCGGGAGGCCCAAGATACCCTCGAGGGGCTGCAGTCGCAAAAATCTCCCGTCCAATGAGTGAACGCAAGGTTGACAACCTCTTTTCTTGCGGATGCCGGCGAATCTCTTGGTGGGAGCATCTTTGTGGGTTAACGCCTTCATCCCGTTTATTTCCGGGTCGTTGCGCGTGGACCGATAGGAACACGGCGTGGCAGAATGTTTTTCGCAAATATTCACTGTGCCTGGGAGCCCGATGCCGCCATGCAGTGCCTGCACCACGCACGATCCGACGGTATTGCACCCACCAACCGTTCTTACTTTCTTGAGGCCGGTGCTGCAACAAACCGCCGATTCCTTGGTGCTGTTCCCTGCGCCCCAGCAGCAGCAGCGCGTGGTGCATCCAGCCATTGACCAGGAAGTGCTGGGGGCAACTCCGATGCCCTCTCAGGTGGAGCCTGTTCTCCTTGCACAGCACCCAGCGGTGGACTTGATGGGCGTCGACTATTTGCTGCGGATGTGCGAAGAGTCTAACGCCCGCACGCCGCTGCGCCCGTCCGTTGGCGCCAATTCAAATGCGGCTGTCCACGACCACGTCAACCGTGCCGGCGGCGCCGAGATTATCACAGTGGACTCGGGGGACGACGACGAGGGGAGGTGATGGGTGCCGCCTTGCCTGGCGAGGGAAGCGAGGGCCGAACAGAACCGACAGGGGTGTTGTGAGGGCGCCGGAGGGGAGAAAAGGTTGTTAACGAGAGCCGTCGTTGCTTGTCACTTTTGGGCATCTTTTCTTTCTTTTCTTCTGTTCTTTTCATTGATTCTGCTGGCCTCGCAGCTTCTTTGTTTGGAGCGCGAAGCCAGCGAGGAAAAGGACGGCAGGAGCAGGGATCATCTGGTCGTTAAGGTGGCGCGAAGCATGATCAAGGCCGTCATCATCATCAACACGGCGGGGAAGATCCGTCTGCTGAACGTGTATGAAAAGGACATTCCACTGGGCGTCCAGCAGGAGCTAGTGCGCCGCATTCATCGCCTCATCTCGCGGCGCAGCGCCGATCTTTGCAACTTTGTGGACAACTTCCGCGACTGGCCCACCCCCGATACCCGTGTGGTGTACCGCCACTACGCCACGCTTTGCTTTGTATTCATTGTGGACAGCAGCGAGTCCCAGCTGGCGATACTCGATCTTATCCAGGTGTTAGTGGAGGCGCTTGACCGCACCTTCGAAAACGTGTGTGAACTAGATCTGATTTTCCACTCGGACAGGGTACAGCTGTTGCTCATGGAAATGGTGATGGGCGGCATGGTTCTGGAGACATCGCGTGAGGAGATACTTCGGGCAAACACCGAGATGCAGCGGATCGGAAGCTCCAAGGCAGGCACTGGAGCGGCCGCAGTGACCGGCTACCACTAGCGATCGGACGCCCTTCATTTGCTGCTGTGTTCTCTTTGCTTCCCTCTGTCTGTGTGGAGGGGGCCGTGCGGTTGTGTGCATGTGTGTGTGTGTGTGTTTGTGTGTCCCCTTGTTGCTCCACGGTTTAGCCCTTTTCTTTTAGGCTGCAGCGCCGGATCGAGGGTGGCTCCGCCGGTTCTAGCGTCTTACTACCTTTTTTTTCTTTGCGCTTTTTTCCTTCATTTTGATGCCCGCAGGTGGCAGTGGCATCGGACAGGGATTGTGCAGCAGTAGGGGGACGTGAAAACTAGAGGGGTGTGGCAGTTGGGACAGGGGTGTGGGACGGGAGCAAGGCAAGGGTGCGGAGGAGCAGGGAGGGAACATGGCCGCCGCTTTCGCTGAGAGCCTTCAGAGAGAAGTTGACACGGCGATACGGGAGGCTGCGAGCCACCGAGGAGGCCTGCGGCGACGTGTGGCCGCTGCGTGTGACCGCATCCGCCAGCAGCAGGCGCT